GAACTCAACTAACTTACACATATGCAAGCGAACCTCCAAACATGCCCAGTTTAGGATTGGAGAATGATACAATAACAGGCGAGACCCAGTTAAAAAGTGCACAAGAGAAATACAACAGCGCCAAACTAAAAGATCAAGGATTTCGCACTAAAAACCTTGTGTATCCAGATGCCGAAAAGCTGCCACCACTTTCGTTCCGTGCCCCCTCTAATACGCTTTCCTAAGAAACCGTGAGGTTAGAACATAAACAAACGTTTGCCTGCGACGCTGTACCAAAGGCAGTAAACACAAGCAAAAAGGCCAGCCCCGTCATTAAAACTAATAAGAAATTTCGGCTAAGGAGAGGGTTTCGCCTCATGTTTTCTGGCGGAAAGCGAGGACAATGAAAGGATATCCTTGACATACAAATTGTGAAGCAAATACACCCGAACTAGCGTAATTTTCGTAAATGTAGGACCTAAGGCTTTGGCAGTGTTGGTGTATTCAAACAATACGTAACTTTCGGCTATTTTTTGTGGGTTATCAGAAAATCTCCAATGTTGTAATGCTCGAACTCGGACTATCTTGGAAATGCAAGGCCTCCGAAGTCCGTTCCTCCTCAGAATATACGAAGAGTCGCTATACCTGTGAAGGCTCTAGATTGTCCTTCAAGGAAAGCCGGGATGAGCCTGTTCCGTAACTAGATTAGGTATGGGTATGACTGGCTAATGACGGCCACTAAGCCAGTCATATCTAATCCCAGGTGTGGATCATCCGAGATTCCAACCCGGGAATTTTGGTCATTCAGTTTGCCACTCTACCTTTGCACCTCGGGCTCTTCGTCGGTTGCGATCGGGAATTTGATGTAAGTAGATTGCTCATGTGATCTATCTGATAAGGGATCATACTTGCCTGTTGTGCATAGGGGCTCTTGCTAGAGTGATCACAGGCAGTCGCTTTAGTGACTTCAGGCATATGGTCTGGTGGAACAGGCAAAGATTAGGGAGACCGGAATGGCTTTCTCGCCTATTTGTCGTCATCAGTCAATTTGAAAAAATTGGGCCAGAAGAACGACTCCAAGGTTCCGTATCTATTTCCTCGATAACGAGACAAAGCTCTTTGGTACTTCTAGATCCTGGTCATGACACTGCAACGGCAAGGCCTCCACCAAGAAGATGGAACGTCAGCTGCTGAAAGGGAGGTGAGTACAATCGTTCCACTCGGTTTACATAGCTGTACGTGTTACAAACTTTTATAATTTGGGATGCGAAGTTTTATTTTTATGATTACACAAGACAATTAAATTTTCATTTATTTCTCACAGTTATAGGTCTTTTTAGTGTATTAGGAATTTATGGCCTGATTCTTATCGGCCCTCACCCTCTCCTCCTTTATTCCTGTGACCCACTTAAAATGAAAGAGGAACAAAATTGACTGCGTGTTTTACCCTTGACCCAATTCTCATATAAATGTACTGGACAAGGGAGAATTTATCAAAATTTTTCCCACGTTTGCC